CAGCAGGAACTCGAAGGCGCAGTTCACGTCCTCGGTGAAGTCCTGCCGCGCGCGAAGCCAGGCGCTCAGCTGGGAGCAGCTGCTGCGGGAGCTGCCGCGAACCCCCCTTTCCCTCCCGCTCCGTCCTGTCTGCTCCGAGGAAGCTGCCAGGACACAGCCCGGCCCCTGCCCCAGCCGCCCCCGAGCAGCTCTGCAGGACACCGTGACAAACACGATTCACTCCTGCACCCAACACCGCGAGCAGCTCCTGCCAACAGCCCTCGCCACTCACCCTGTCCCCTTGCGGATACTTCTTGAGCTTGACCAGCACCTGGGGGATCTGCAAGGAGCAGAGCACCGATGTGACCAGCTCTGTGGCCACCAGCCGCTCTCCTGGTCACAGGGAGGAGTGTGGCAGCAGCCAGCCACGTCTTGAGCCCCCTTCCTCCCTGCACAGAGCTTCACCCACAGCATGAGCCAGTCGTGCAGGGCACAGCCACCCCCCAACAGCCCTGCAGGGCTCCACGGATGCGGAGCAGCCCAGCACAGGACTGTGCAGGTGTCAGGCCCGAAACTACACCCAGATCCCATTTTTCTGGCGCAAAAGTGAGAAGCAGAGCAGGGAGAACGCTCTGCACAGCCAAACGGGACTGGGAGGACGTGCCAAGCAGCAGAGCGGGGCTCGGCGGGGTGCAGGAGGGTTGCCCAGGGGCTCGGGCACCTCGCACACCGGCCAGAGGGGGCACGAGAAGGAGCCCGTGGGAGAGCGGGACTCGCGGCTCCGCCAGGCCCCGGCAGTGACCAGGCATGGGGGAAAAGGCAGCGCCGGGGGCACCTACCTTGAGGAAGGTGAAGGCCGTCCACTTGAGCTCCTCCGTGCCCTCGGGGGACTCGATGAGGCCCACGAAACAGGCCTTCCAGATCTCCAGCACGAAGAGCGGGGACGGGATGCGCTGTGGGGCGCACAGAGAGGAGCCTGCGTGAGGGCAGCGCGGGCGCCAGCCCTCCGAGCACCCAAGAGCAACAGAGCGGCTGCCCCAACCACCACCAAGCCCTCAACTCCTGCAAGGACCAAGGCTACCCCGTGCTGATGGGCTCGTGCTGCTCCCACAAAGCAGGATCACAAATATCCCACGTCCTCCAGCCACCCGGAGCGGGACAACACGCCGCCGCTTCCGTACCTGCATCCTCTTCACCATCATGAGCTGCTCCACGAGGGGCTGGGTCTCTCCGGTGAGGTTCATGGTGCCCTCCAGCAGCACCACAGCGTGCACGGTGGGGAAGCCGGTCTTGTTGAGCTGCTCGCTGTGCGCCGAGAGCATGGTGGGGATGCTGGGGGGACAGCAGCACGGCTCACCGGGGCGCTCAGGGACACTCTGCTCTCCCTTCCCAGCCAGGGTCCCCATCTCTGTCCAACTCTGGCTCCCCGGGGTCTTTGGGATGTGGCTGAGACCCCTCCCGGGCCCTGGAAGCAGCTCCTGGAGCATCCAGGACAGGGACAGCAGCTCTGGCCGCCCCAGAGCAGCTCAGTGCCCTGCAAACAAGGGCTGAGATGGACACGAGGGGCCCTGGAGGAGCAATCCCCAGCACAGAC